TCGTGCTAAGTGTCCCAGTCAGGATCCCAGTCTGCTTGAGAAATGGCACGATCTTTTGCATCAGTTGGGACCCCTGTCAGGTTTGTTCGTGCAAACCCAGGAGTCGGTACACGGCGTGGCCCACAGCGACCGCGTTTTGGATGTCATCGCCCCTAGTACGGCGCTGAAATATATCACCTCTATGAGAAACTTCATGCGGATTTGCTTGCAGATGAATATATCTCTTGCATCGATGTCGGATGTCGTATTGGCAGACGTGCTTTTGACCCTTCAACTGAGCAGGTCTTCGGATGAGTTGAAGATCTCATGTCATGCCACGATCAAGGCCACTCGATGGATGGCGAAACACGCAAGTGTTCGAGCCTTAGACTGTGCGTTTTCAGACATTGTGCAGAGCTTTTTGTCCAGAAAAGTCCCTAAAGCCAAACGGGAGGCCCCACCGCTGCCCCTGTGGACCCTGGTGCAATGGGAACGTAGGCTACTCATTTCTAGTACCTCCGTCCCGGAGATCCTTATCTTGGGTTCTTTCCTATTCATGATTTGGAGCGGACTGAGATTCGCAGACCTCCAAAGAATCACGCTCCCGGACCTGATCCTGGATTCCCGGAACGCGCGGGGTTGGTGCTGGAGGGCAAAAACCTCCGCGTCGGGGCACGCGTTTGGAGTCGTCTCGAGCGGCTTCCTCAGCCGGGGAAGTCACACGTGGCTCTGGAAATTTTTGACCACTCTGGACACGGTCTTGAGCGCGCAGGATTCCAAAGTCATTGACTTCCTTCTCCCTGCTTGCACACTTCAAGGGGTTATTTATCCCCTCGAACCGATGGCGTACGCTGGTGCCTTGGCGTTTTTACGAGAGCTTGTGCATTGCGACTGGCGCTCACAGCCCAGCCCGTTGTGCGACATTGCATTGTCATTCACAGTCCATAGCCTGAAGGCCACACTCCTGAGTTGGGGCCCTCAGTTGCACGAGGTCGTATCAAAAGAGGTGAGATTGGCTCAAGGGCACCATAAAGACTCCAACCAATCCTTGGATCTTTACGGCCGGGATAGTGTTTGGGGATCACTTCAATTCCAACAAATTGTAATCAATCAGGTCCGCGCCGGGTTTCGCCCTCAGATTGCTCAACATCGAGGTGCTCAGGCACCTTTGATTGAACCCCCAGTGAGTTTAGAGGCCTTCAAAAAAGAGATCCCTCAGTACACTTGGAAGTGGTTTGACTTCAATTCCCCCTCGGGGGAACGCGTTGTGGAGGTGGACCTCCCGGATTGCGTTGAGGAAGACTCCTCCTCGGATAGCTCGAGCTCTTCCGATGACTCGGTACAGGAAACAAATCCAGCAGTTTCGAAGCGTTCCCAACCACCCGTGGTGGACGAAGTCTTGATGGCCAAGTATCGCACCGTGGTGCATGCGTTGCTTGACGACTTGGAGTCGACGGAGACCGATTCCGCAACACAGCTCCTTCGCACGGCCTGTGGCCGCAAGCTCCCCAAATTCGCCACAGTGGTGATAGATTCGATCGATAGCACATTGACATTGTGCCAGCATAGTGGTTGCCGAAAGGCCTGGGCATCACTCGGATGAATGCGTTGTATGAGTCAAAAAGAGGTGAACAGACACTCACTTTCTGCTTTATGTTGCATTTTGTGTGGAATCAGATGGAAACACCACATTGTTCACACCTGAACAGGGGTCTTCGGCCAAAACCCCTGTTTCGAATGTCTTTCCAGTTTATTTTAACAGAAGATCAAGCTTTGCTTCAGGTTTGCAGTTCATGTGCAGTCAAATGGGAAACCCAACATGTCACTTTACGTTTCTTTTTGGGACAGGCAGGACTTGGTGGCGTGGATTCAAACTCACTGGTTTTTTGGCGTCGGTCGCTTTTGATGTAGAAACAGGTAGGAGGAAGGTGGTCACGAAGTGATAACCATGTCTTACTGCCCGGCGTAAGTAATACTGGAGCGTAGTACTGATTTTGAGTATTCTGGGTACAAAGAAATGCAGACGATGCTGCCCAAGATGGAACGCATTATTGGCACCACGGGCCGGGAAAAACAGGTGTATCAGATACACCTGGTTTCTCAACGAAATTGGATATATATATAACCGCTTGTATGGGTTATATGTCTACTGTATAATGTAAGTTCCTTTGTTTTTGGCGTTAGATAGGAGGATTTCCAGGGGTCCGTTTCGGGTACGGTCCGCAGGACTTGGCAAAGCTCAGTTTTTTTTTTCGGGACGTTTCGAATGACTTGCCGCTTGTTTCAGGATGCAAAAAAAAGGAATGCATAGGTAGTTCTGGCGTTTTGAGAAGTTTCATCATGAGATATCTCATTGAACGTTCTTTCCATGTTCACACAAGCTTGCTTTCTCAACTTTTTCTTCCATCAGTTCCCATATACCTCTTCTCAATTTCAGGTGTTATCACCGTCGTCTCCAGTGCCATGGACGAGCCAGGTGAATCCTCACCTCTGGAGGACCTACTGGCCAGGAGTGGCGTTCCAGCCATTCTATCCTCCCGCCTGTTGGCAGAGGGCTGGACCTTAGATTCATTTGCACGCAGTGCCACCTCTATGACACAGTTTGACGACATCTTACCAGAATTGTTGCCTTCGGAAGAGGTCAGCTTGTTGCACAAAACCGCACTACGCTTGGCATTCAAACAGGCGAATAGTCTTCCGAGCAGCTCTTCCGGCGGGCCGGGACCGTCATCTGGGCCTTCAGGCCAGTCAGATTCTCAGAGTTGGGTTGAGACCTTCGCACCGAAGCTAGAAGCCGAGACCATTCGTAAGTTGAAAGCAACATTTTTGTCGAACTACCCGTCGGAATTGTTGTCCCCGGAAACCATGCCTAGTACTCGCCTGTTAAGCTTGGTGCACCATCAATTGGCAAAACGCCAATGGCATTGGATCCCATGGAAGTTCCGCCTTTCAGTTTCGAAAGCAGAGGAAATCTCACAGCAGCGCTCGGCTAAGACCCCCAAATTGGACTCAGTGACATTGCAATCCCTTTTGTGCGATGATCCGCCATCCATTGAAATCTTGAACCAAGGCATGGGACTTCATGCCATGAGGACCATGTTCGATGTCCATAACTTAGCCATCGCACTTTGCAATGGTGCACACTTGGCTACATTGAAAGGATATACACAGAAGTTCATGGGCTTTGTTACACAGAAAGTGGATGCAGAAACGGGACTTCGCACGGCATCGATCTTAGAGTGCCAAGCAGCGGATCGTCATGTTTGGCAACAGGTGTCTGACCTGATGCTTGACCGAAATTGGTCCATGGACGACGCGTTGTATGAATTCACACATATTCGACATGAGCTTCCGAGTTTGTTGCAGTTGCGTCCCCGCCTGCCGAAACCACAGCAGACTCCTTTCTTCAAAGGAGCAGGACCTAAAGGGCTTGATCACAAGGGGAAAGGGAAGGGTAAGTCCAAGTTCCTTCCCAAGGGCGGCAAAAGTCGCCCGCAGTGGGTCACGGAGTTGTGGAAAGATGGAAAGATGATGCAACTCTGTATGCGATATCAGACCAACAAGTGCACGGTGCCCAACTGTCGCTTTCTGCGTGCGTGTGCCTTCCCAAAGGGAGACCAGACAGCTTGTGGAGGTGATCACTCCGCCTTGGACCATTCCAAGGTTCAGCACTGACTAGGTTCAACGTCGGACGTCGCAGCGATGCCGGCACCTTCAAATGAAGTGACGGCCCCATCGGTTTCTACACCAGTTTCATCTCCCAAAGGGAATCAGCAGGTCGTGGAGCCTATTCCTTCTGGCCCATTTTTTCCACAAACGGATTTGACAGACGAACCATGCGATAGTTTGGAACCACAACAACATGAAGCAGCTCGTCCGGAAGTCGGGGAGACACCACCCTTTCCTCCACCATGTCCGGTGTCGACATTGGACCTTTCTCAGGGCCCTCCAGGTCCTCGGATATTTCTGGATTTGTGTTGTGGGGTTTCCAAGCCGCTTTCTACAGCCATCCAAGCCTTGGGCAAGCCTGTGGTCGCCTTTGATATTTTGTGTAATCCTCAGGATGATTTGTTGGACGACAGCCGCTTTGAACAACTTCTCAAACTGTGCGCCTCCGGCATAGTAGCGTATGGATGTGCCAGTCCATGTTGTTCACAGTATAGCCGCCTCAAACTTAGGAATGATGGCGGTCCTCGTGCCCTTCGTACTCCTGAACACTTGGAAGGCATTCCAAATCTCAACGCAGCGGACTTAGAAAAGGTTCAGGCCAGTTCCACCATGTTGTATCGCTGTATAATTTGCTTACAGTTGATTTTCTTAGCAGGAGGTCACGTGCATTTGGAACAGCCGACCAATGCCATGTCTTGGTCAGAGGCTTTTGTACAAACCTTCCTCAAACTGATTTCAGCGCACTGCGTATCCATTGCAGCATGTGCATATGGAGCGAACTGGCGCAAGAGCTGGATGTATGCCTCCAGCTTTTCAAGATTGACGGAATTGGCCAGCCACTGCAACCATGGTCCTCAAACCCATGAGGCCATCTATGGGGTTTCCGATCAGACCGGCCTCTTCAAGAGTAGGGCCACTGCTTGCTACCCTACGGCATTGGCCACCGCCTTCGCATCTATAGCGCAAGACCTTCTGTCGGACAATCCGGTCTCCCTTTCTTTGGACCAGGCCATATTCTGGATTCCCTCGAAGCCAAGAGCAGCCCCTCCATTTGGCTCCGAGGACGGTGGTGGTTTACCATCGGTCCCAGACTGGAGCATGGACAACAGGGTTCAGCCAGATGTCTTCCGATCATTGAGACGAACCTGGGTGGACGAGATCCTCACTAGGAAGTTGCACAAGGAATTGGTGGCGCATTTTGCTAGTGGTTCCAAGACACCTCCATTTAGCGAAGAGACGTTGGCACCATTTCGCCAGTCTTTGAATGAGTTTTTGAGCGCACATGGCTTGAGTCCGGATTGGAGCATCAGGGAACATCAGCCGATGGCCCTCCGCATCATGAGAATGTTGCACTCGATCCAGCAAGACTGGGACGTATCACTTTTTCCCTTCTCTGGAAGAGGGAGTTCACACTGGGTTCGAACGCAATATTCCATTGTCAAACTGCTTCCCACTTCGATCGCATTCGGCTCGATTCACTGAAGACGCGCCGCTCTCAGCCCATCTTTCCAACTGGAACTCCGCCGAGTCTGACCTGGACCTCACACGTAAGTTAGTCCAAGTCGAGTTGGACGAAGGATGGGTCTTTGAGTATCAGGGCTCCCTAGAGGATGCACAAAGGGACTTCCCCCTAGGAGTGTCTATTGGTAAACTTGGGGTGGCCACAAGTCCGCATAGACCTCCAAGGCTTGTCGTAGATAATTCAGTAAGTGGATTGAATGCTCGGTGCTGGATCCCAGAACACTCCACCTTGCCTTCCGCCAAGGACCTACTGAGATGCTGGCCCCTGCGAGAACAGCAGGGGGATCTCGAAGGGTTCAGCCTTGACATTAAAGCAGCCCACAAACGAGTAGTCATCCATCCCTCGGAACAGGGGTTGGTTGGCTTCAGTCTTGATGGCAAGTTGTTTTTCTACAGGGTCGCACCGTTTGGAGCGTCATTCAGTGCAGCTTGGTGGTCCAGAGTAGGGGGATGGCTTCTCAGGTTCTTCCACCAATTTTTGTGGTGGAGTCACGTCGGCCTATTGTATGTAGACGATTTCATATTTTTCATGAACAAGATGATGATGCCAGTAGGTGCAACGCTAATATGCATTTTTTGCCGTCTTTGTCAGATTCCAATCTCTTGGGGAAAATCCGAACTTTCAAGTTCCCTCAAATGGATCGGCTGGGTCTTCCATTTAAATAGTGGATACATTGAACTTCCTAAGGACAAGCTTTCCAAGCTTTTGGAATACTTGAAAGAATTGCAATCGGCGTCCAGAACGTCGCGCAAAACATTGGAAAAATTCATTGGTCTTTGTATGTGGGTCACTCAACTGTTCCCCTACATGCGAATTTGGCTTCATCACTTGTATCATGATTTATATGTGATTCCAAGCACTTTGTTCAGCTTAGACCCGGCGTATTGGCCACGCCTCCCACAGTTTCTGTCAGACGAGTTGAAGTTCCTTTCACAGCCTCCTTTTACTGCATTTCCCCTAGGAGGGCAAATCATTTCCGTACGACATCAAACAGTTCGATCTCTTGCCGAGTTGCAGCAAGTCCGAATCTCAGACAAGCGCATTTGGATGAGAGTCTGTGATCCCTCATCCGGAAGGCGTAAATTGTCTTCACATTCGCATCGAATCTTGAACATGTTTCGTCAATGGATTGAATTTTTGCCTCCCCTTCGACCCATGCAGAGAAAGCGGTACTGGACTGGCGCCGCCGCTGCCGATGCTTGTGCTTCAGGAGGTTCATGCCAGATCGGA